GGTAAGAAAGAGGAGGCAGCTGAGGCAACGGCGGGTGCGAGGGGGGGAGCGTAACGGAGACCGTTCGCCGCTCGTCAAACCCCCGGCAGAGAGATGACGATAGCCAGCAACATTGTGGTGGAGTGGCTGCGGTCCCTCCACCTGGGCCAATACTCCGAGTCGTTCATCGACAATGGTTACGACGACCTCGAAATCTGTAAGCAGATCGGGGACCCCGATCTGGACGCGATCGGTGTCTTCAATCAGACGCATCGCGCCAGGCTGCTCCAATCCGTGAAGACTCTGAGGGAGGAAGGCGCCGCGAGCGTTTACTTCACGCTGGAGGAGAGCAACGACTGTCTCTGCGACAATGTCAGCTCGAAGTCCTCGAGGACGTCTTCTGAGAGACCACCCAGTGATAAAGAGGCGCAGAGGGCATCGCCGACCGCCAGCTCCTCGAGCGGTGGCCAGGAATTAACCAAGTTCGCGGACGAGTACGAGGAGGGGAAGGCGGAGCTGGTCAGAATACCGAGGATGCAGCTTAGGATGCTGCTGCAGGAGAAGCTGAGACACGACGGCATCAGACTCGCCTGTCAACCGTACACCACACCGGTGAGCGCTCGCTCTGCCTTTTGTTTATTCGTAATTTCGCGCGGCTCGATGCTACACGACTGGCCACGTTTTACCGGGGACTGGTTATTCTTCTTTTGCCTCCCATGAGAGTACGATACCGTGAAAGAATTTAGGAGGCGGTCCGAGTTTAACGCGAGATGAACGGTGGGGAATTCGAGAGCGCTTATTATCTTTCGAAATGTCTCGGGATAGTTTATTTTGTTCATCTTTTCCTTCGGATTGAGAAAATTGCGTTCGGTAGTTGCGGAAGTGTGGCTCTCGGCAATCGTTGAAATTATGCTTCTCCGGATGAAACAGGAAGAAGTAGGTACTGTTATTAGCGAGTCATGGATATTTCTCTTGTAAAATAAAAATTATGTCTTGCAGAAAATGGTAGACCGTCGTAAAAGTCACGTCAGACGATGAGGTACCGTTGGGGGAAGAAAATTCGACACTGCTCCAATTTAACGCTAAGGTGTCAGTCTCTAGGATGCAATTTTAGAGAAAAACGGGTGAACCCTTCAACGAAGTTCTTTAAGTTTTAATGGGCTTGTTTAAAATTTTAAAGTCTTCCGAAATAGTATTCCAATTTCTCGTGCCAATTTTACGCGACATCTTTCTTATACATTTTTTACAACTACTACATTTACGAAAATAATATATGTCCCCATCTATTATTTTCATAGAAGTGCTACGAACCGCTGCACATCAATTAGTAAATGAAATCAATTAATATAAACTAAATAAATGACCTGGCAATAGTCGGTACGATGAGCAAATTTTATTAGAGGTATTATTCTGCCACAGTTATGTTTCCATCACTAATTTCCCAGAATTGTTATTTAAAATCGTTGAATATAGGCGAATGCAGTTAGGTGTATTATCGTTGATTACGGAAATACGCGAACCTGCTTATCAGATCGCGGATAAACTATTCGAGTCAGTGATATTTTTGAACTCAAGATGACGCAGAAAAGTCTTAAGCCTCGTGAGACACGCCCAGAGCGTAGGTAATCCTGTAATTCATTATTTCGTTAAATTAGCTGGCGGTCCGGATAAGACAAATCATCCTATAAAATTGTTGCGCTATATATTGCCTGCATGCAAGAATAGTTTATTGATGTGAAAATAGTCTTCTTTTTCATTTGCGTACGAAGCACGTGTCTTATGTACTGATTCCACTGCTCCATTAAATTTTCATCGGTCACAGTTTCGTCCGGAAGACAGATAAAGGTAAAGATAAAGTGAATACCTATATAAATTCTAACTTGTTAGATAGAAATTTGCGATAACACGTACAAAGACGATTCCTCGTTTTAAGCCCATTAGCTGGACTCGGAAAATCATTTTCCTGCTGTTGTTCACGTGTATCCTCATTTTAAAAGACAAATATCGTCGCCGAAGAGTTTGCGCGTTTTTCGTTACTTGAATGTCGCAATATTGTTTCGTTAAAAGTACCGTCCGCGATATTGCGTCTATTTCGTTTGTAAATATTGAAGCATGCCATAGTGTACACAAAAAAATTCGCGTTGCAATCTGAACGGAAGCGAAAGTAGAAGAAATGATTTAACGTCCATAAAATGTCCAAGTCCCGTCCTTACTCTTGAAATATTTGAAATTCGCCGTGCTTAGACTTTTACGACTGACTGTAATTATTTGGGAACGGAACTTCCTTGAATATTACTCCTCTCAAATTATTTTTATGTCACAACCATAGCTCGCGCACGTTGATACATTTCACTACTGTTTAAAATTTGAACACCGAGGAAGCTACGTTTCGCATTATTACTGATATAAATGGAGGACGGAACGCGTGAGTCGGAACGAGCAGGACACAAAGAGAGTAACGCGTAATCGGGGACATTTATTTTTCTGAAATTCCATAGCTACGGCGCACGACTTATTACGAGCCGAGAGGGTGTAAACGTGTAAGGTAACTGATAACGAAGAGCCGGGTAAGGCAAATGGAATTCGAATTAAGTGAAATACGAATTACGGAGACTCGTCATTGTCGCTGGTGTATGTGCGCCGCGCGCTCCGTGTATGCAGCCGTATCGTTATCACGAATGTAAAGCCTGGTCGCTTTATCGACTTCGAAACAACTGTAAGGTTCAGCGACGTCGCTAATGATTCACACAGCCCGACAACGTCTTTCCCGTATCTGCGTGCGTTAATTAGCGAGCGGCGAGCTGAATGCAGATGGAAAGATAGACGCCTTATATTGGGAAGCCTGGGTGGTTTTATCGCGTGGATAAGTCTCTCCCGTTATTTACATTCGTGCCGCGACATTATGACCCCGCGTTTACGCCGGGGCTCTTATTTCACCGGTTTATGGTTGCGCTGTTTAGCTTATTGGGTAAGGTGGCGCTTCTACAAATCGCGGCGGACGTCGAATTTGAATGATAATAGGACCTCCGCGAAAATTGTAAATCACTCGGGATTGGTAATAGCCACCGGTCATCGGAACGCCACTGGCGGATAACGGTGTTAAAAGTACAATTATCGCGATAAGAGAAACCTTTTTACGTGTATCAACCTGTTCTGAATCGGTTCATTTTTGGTTGAACATTCTACTTACGAGTGATTAAGAATACCGAAGAGTCCAAAAAAGGAATAATCTCTTGTAGAGCTTTAATTCTGTAGAATCAGATCTCTTGTAGAAGTTATTTATTTTTATGGTGGCAATGCGTTGTTTTAAGAGTATCCTCGACATTTTTTCAGTGAACCAGTTAAAAGGAGTAATTTTTTCTTTTCCCCTTATTTTGCCGGTACATTACGCGGCGTTAAGGATTTTTTACGTTCGAGAGAGGAATATTTAAATTTAAGAGCGGTTTCGACCATCTTATTGGGCCGTACCTTTTACGGGCACGAGTGATACATTTCGCGGTCGGTCTCTCCCTATTAGTTTCTAAATTTTAATTCAATCACGTCACAACGTATTAAACACCGCTTCGCGAAAGATTAATATCGAATTTATGAAGCCCGGCCGAAGAATTTGAAAATTTTACGGTTGGTTTTACGAGCCACGGCCATGAAAAACAGTGTTTAACGCTAGGCTATTAATGAAATTGCGAACTCGTATAATTCACGGGGCTTACGGTACCGTGGCTGATCGATAAACCGGCTGGCAAAAGAGTAAATTAAAATGCGGGGAAGTCTAGGAATTAGCGGGTTAAGGGTGATTATCTGCAGAGCGTTCGCGTTACCGCTGGATAGAGCTTTTTTGTAAGTAATAGCTACATGAAACAAAATTTCTCTCGTTACTTTTTTATGAAGAATGCCATGGATTAATTTAATTCTCGCCGTTTCTGTTACATTTCGAAAGCGTTTCGAGTCTCGTTTCACCTCAAATAAATTTACGCTTGCGATGTTCCAAGGAAACCTGTACAATATGGAAACGTTAGTTAATATGCTAATAGTGTATCCATTGCTTGTATTCATCTTCATTTTCAATTGATTTACCGATTTGTTATCGGTTTATATACAAATTTTGGGATTAAATTATATCAAAATGTCCGTACACGTGTTGACTAAATTTCATTTATAAACGTACAATAAAAATCTATACTATGGAAGTATCATTTACGTATTTATTACTGTAATATTTCCAGTTTGAGAAATTTCTGCCGCATAATTTTGTTGGTTCGAGTCATTGCCACTGTATAAATAGCTATCGAGCCATTATATAAAATTATTACGTTGATATCGCAACACTGAAAATTTCAAAAATTTAATTTCAAAATAACGGTGATCCTTTTGGTAACGTTCGCGAGCCGGCGAAATGTACTAGTACAGCATCCGCGCGTAGAAACTGTTTAATTTTCGTTCGAGCATTTATTAGTACGCGACGTATGCAACCCCATCAAACTTTATAAGAACGATCCCCGTCGAATCTCATATTTTTCAACGTGTTTCGAAACACTTTGCGCGCGGAATGCTTTTTCTCTGCAGATACTCGCATACTCGCACGCAAATGACCGCGACGCAAGAAAAAGGCAATAAAAATGCTTGTTCTCTCTCAGAGCACGGTGGTCCGGTCGTCACTTACTCCTTTTTACTCTACCACGTACGACACATGCAACGCCGACCCTGTGCGCGCGTGTGTGCGCGCGCGTGGATTGCGTGGGGAGGATTTCCAGGCCGTGCGCGTACGCACCGACCTCCGTCAAAATGATACTTACCACCTCCGGCTTGGATGCATACTTTCGTATTTATTGGTTCAATCCGGAAGGTCCGATTTGTACGGCGCCTTGGCCACGTATCTCGCCAATCAACATTCCAAGCATAGGGACCACGTAGCCAATTACGGTATCCGCGATACAATCTGCGCCACTATGCACCTATTTATTTGTTCAGCTGCACGTTTATGGGCGCAAAGACTGAACACGTCGTGAATATCGCAACGGGAACCGTTGAAACGTTTCGGAAAAAAGTTCCTTTGGGGACAACTCGCCGATCAGCGGAACCGGTGGGTATTGAAAAAAATGGAGCGAGAGTAGATCAGAAATTGTTTAGATGTTGTAGATTATGAAAATTGATACTCGCTTAACGATACGCGGTTTGCCTGATGTACTTTTGTAACAAAATATTGATAAGCGCTCATTTGAATTTTGTTTTAACCGTAAAATAAAGATGTGTCGTGTATCTCGATGAAGTAACAAAGAAGAGGTATGTGAAGTTTGACTGCTCCTTCTGTAGGATTTTAAGTTGAAAAAGGTTTCGAAGTGAAAGCGAGGGTGAACAGATAGGGCAAGGTTTAGGGCGAACCGATGTTGCATGTGTGCGTGTGCTTGTATCAGAATTCGCTGACGTAGGTATTAGCTGATACAGGGTTCACGTTATACTGTTACACGGAGATCAGGTAACATAGAGTTTAGAGAACGCTGGTTAAAGACGCGCGTAAGAGATTGACAAATTACAGTTTAAATATCTATTATTTCACGCTTGTACACGCGTCTCCTTAATTGCCGGCGGAGCGCAATTTGTTGCTCGAATTCATT